GATTTTATAAACACTCTTGTATCCACAGCTTAATATCCTCTTGGCATGTGTGGAGACTGCGGAAAGTTAGATCATCTTTTCTGAGCAGTGTTTACAGAGAGAGAGATTCCAGATCAATATAAATTTTTAGTGGCCAATTGCTCTGAGGAGGATTTTTAAAGCCACAAAGAGATGTTTTTCTCTTAGATGCTGTTGTGCCCAGAGGAGTTGCTTTAGCGGTGGAGGTGGTGCAAGGATGGCAGCTTGTTTTGCTTGGAGATGTGATTTATCTACAGGACCTAAAATGTTATTTTTGCCAGGAGCGGCTGTGTCTCTGCAGGGGTTGTGTGCTCTGGGTTACCTGCAGTGGCACCTTTTTTGTCCTCTGTCTTCAGACAGTGATCAGCAACTGTGGTGGCCCAGGTTCATGTGGTTATGCTGTTAGTCCTGAAGCCACATGCAAACAGAGTCCTTGCTGTCAGTTCAATTCCTCCATCCCCTAAAGCAGTGACCAGTGGGGAGCTTCTGGATGGAGAGAATTTAGAGAGAAAAGAGTTGAGATGGAAGAGGAAAAAAAGGGAGAGGTGGTGGGAAGGGGGAGTTTATCTTTGAAGTCTGTGGCTGCTCCCAGGCTATGTGGTGGGTAAGGCCATGCCCTGCCCTTGACTTCTGTGCAAATCTCCCTTTTGATAAAAGTGCTCTGGAATTCAGTGCTTTACAACAGGAGCTGCCCGAACAGTCCCCTCTTAATTGTCCTTGGCCAAATCAGTGTTTATCAGACTCCTTCAGTGGTGATATCTCAGCTAATCAAAGCCTTCAGGAAGGGATTTAGTGGAAGGTGTGCCCCTGGGGTGCACATACCTGAACTGCTTTGGGGGAGCTGGCTGTGAGTGCTGCTGTGCCTGGGGCTCATAGGACTGTGGAGCTGCAGGTGGGGCTGATCTGTGACTTTCATGGGCAGTTTTATCTCCTGCCATTCCCACTGCCACCCCTTTTGTTTAGGCAACAGTTGGGATTTATTGTCTGACCAGACCAATGCACTGCCTCCCATTCCTTTAAGGTGGCAGCTCTGTGCTGTCCCTTCTGCTGCTCTCTGCACCCAGGATTGACGAGCTGAGTTGTTCAGTGTCCCTGTTGCTGTGGGGCAGCAAACTTGCCTTTAGGATTTCTTGTTTCAGCAGCACAGAAACTGCATTGCTGCTGTATGGCCTGAATAGGGGAGCACTGGGCTCTGGTTTTTTCTTGCTGGATACATCATGGAATCATAGAGTTGGAAAAAACCTTTAAAATTGAGTCCAGCTGTTAACCCAGGACTGTCAAAGCCACCACTAAACCATGTCCCCAAGTGCCACATCTCCATGTCTCTTAAATCCCTTCAGGGATGGTGACTCCACTACTTCCCTGGGCAGCCAGTGCTTGACAACCCTTTCAGGGAAGAAGTTTTTCCTAATATCCCTCTAAAACCTTCCCTAGTGCAACTTGAGACCATTTCCCCTCGAGCACCACAAATCTGCTGGTTTTGTTTGCCACCACTTAGCACTGAAAGTGCCACTTTCCAGGGGGTGTTTTGCTGCAATGTGTCTGGCTGGACTGGTTTTGAAGCTTTCCTTCCTGCCATGAGATTCAGGGCTGACTGAGAGACTTGCACGGTCTCACTAATGGAATTTTTTCCCCCAGTAGTGAGGTTGGAACGTGCTGTCTGCAGAGAAGTCAGGGTGCACGTGCCTCCAGAGGCAAGACTTGCCATGCAGTTGTGGAGGAGCAAGTGTGAGTCATTAAACATTTCACCCCTCCACCAGCTTGTGCTGTGTGTGTGTGTGATTCTTGAGCTTGTTTGGACTTGGATGCCTTGGCAGCAAGGCACTAAGCTTAGTGGTTGTAAATGCCAGACTATCATTGGAAGGAAGCAGGATCCCAGCTGGCAGCATGAGCTCCCACCTGCAAAACTCACCTTTACTGTGAGTCTGTCCCCGAGGTGCCCAGGATTGCCTTGCTTGAGCAGCTCTTTTTTGAAGATACTGAAGGTACTGAGGATTCCTTTGCATTGCAGCTGCAAGTTTTAACCCAGCTGGGCTGAGAGAAGCCAAATTAGGGATTTGGGAGGCCTTCCTGCCCTGGTGATGCTGCAGTTGGTACCCGAGCTGGGCTGGGTACAGCCTCACACGTACAGTTCTCAGTTGTGGGAGTTTACTCACCAGCCCCAGCCATTGCAAAACGTGCTGCCAGACACACGATGGGGAGTGTGATCGTGCCAAATACGTGCTTTAGAGCCAGCTAAGCAAACACATCCCGTAGCATTGGAGTGTCTGTTATCACAGCTGTCCTGGGCACGTTCTCCAGGCTGGCTTCCAGCTGGGACCTCCAGCTTTGGCTCATGGCTGAGCCCAGCAGTAGCTGGTGGGACAGAAGCACGCCAGGGTCAGGCTGCCTCACTCAGTGAATCCTGAAAAAAACCCAATCTTGGTGACAACTGAGGTACAAGGCTGAGTCTGGGCACAGAGATATAGAGGGCCTGACTGTAGAAGTCTGTAAACCAGGGAAAAGCCAGCAACAGATGTGGACTTTCAGTTAGGGTTAGTCCTGATATGCCAAATTTTGGCCCGTGTCCAGGTAAATACAGTATGTGTGCAGAGAGGAAACTATGGCTGTAATCAGTGTAGTGAGCAAAGGTATTTTTCAGGCATAAACTGTTGCCTAATCCAGCGTGCGAGCAAAGCCACTGAGCAGATCCTAGGAGAGGAGGGATTTACCTGCTCCATCCTGCCCAGTTTGAGCAGCACATCTGTCCCAAAAGTCTCACTGGTGCGGAGTCTCGCAGCTGAAGCTCATGGTTAAAGCACAAATGCCTTTAAATACTTACTAATGGATTACTTGTCAGCACAGTTAAATACTGAAGTGTCACCTGAGGGAGAAGTCTGCCTTCTGGAACCTTTTAAAATGCTCTTCAAAGTGAATCATTAGTATGCAAGAAAGAAATTTAAAAAAAAAGAGGGGGGTGACTAATCTTTGTTTTGATGAGTGTTGTAGACCTGACATTTGAGAAGAGGAAGGAGTAATTTAAAAAAATAAATTTTTGAAGTTAAAATCTCTTCAGTCAGCTGAGTTATTTCATAAGGAAGGTTTGGGGAGAGGTAAGAATGAGAAAGATGTGGGAGTCAAAAAAAAGTGACTCAGATGCCATTAATTGAGTTTGAGTAAATCATTCAACTTCAGTTGCACATCAAAACCTGCTCAAGGTGGCCTTGCACAGGCTGGCAGGGTGTCCTTTTCCTGCAGGAGAAACAGCCTGTGGTCAGTACAGGGACTGGCTCTTTGAGTACAGCAGTGACCTGCTGCAGAGTGGTGTGCGCCAGGGCCCTCCCCAGGGATGTCAGAGGGAAGGAGACTCCTGGGGAAGATGAGCAGCCTGGCTGGCTCACTCAGCTCCCTTCTGGGCAACACTGTTTTTACTGGTGTGTATTGTCTGGTCCAGTCCCTGGTTTGGATCACAAACTGCTGAGTTTCTCCATTTTTGATTTCCTTTTTTTTCTCTCCAGGCGTCTCGGTGCTGAGCTGGGGAAATCTGTGGTGTACCAGGAAACCAATGGAGGTGAGAGAAATCTTTACTGTTTGAGGTAATCTTAGAAATACTGGGTAACTCCATCAGCCAGACCTGTCTAATAAGTGCAGTGATTCTGCTGTGATGTTACAGCTGCTCCTGGCAGTGCTAAACCTTTGTGTCTGACCTTGGACAAAGCAATTAAATGTGTTCCTTGTTTGCCCCTGTTATCTTGTTTGTCTGCCCATCAGCAAACTCTCCTTTGGAGCCCTACCTCAGGTGTTGGCTGCTGCCAAATCTTACTGACTCCTATGCTTAGCAGAACAGCTCCAGGGTTAGAAGTAATGCCCTGCTTTCTAAGTGTCTGCCTTGTGAACTTTTAAATTATCCCCTTCCTCCAGCCCTCCCCTGCCACAGGGAGGTTACAGCTGCCCTAGCAAGGACTTGTGCTCTTGCTTTAAAGAGTGAGAATTCAAGGCTGTGCTGGGGAACGTACCTCTTGGACCTTGGCTGAGAGTCATTTACTGTTTCAAGACCTCTGTTACCTTACTGGCAAGAGAGACTAGAACCAGAGAGCTGGTGCAGGTGGGAGGAAGGGATGGAGGATTTATGATAGTGCTGCTGCTCTTGCAGCCAGAATGGGCCACACCGTGGGTGGTTATGGCTGGGTTGGCTGGTGTGTTCATGTTCGTGAGAGCTCGCTGCCCTTTGGGGTTGGTTTTAAATCAGGTTGCTTGCTACAAGGTCTGAAGTCATTCTTCATCACTGCACAGCACATCAGTCTGCTCTCTGCTGAGTCCCTTCAGGTAACTGCCAGTGCCCAGGCAATTAGACTTTGAATTCCATAGCTGTGCAACTGTTTCTCTCCTTTTGCTTATCCCTGCCCTCTAGTTCACGACTGCGTGGGATATGAGTGGCTAAGACAGGTGCTTGGGAAACCTGGAGTCATTGCTCTGGCTTTGCAGAGCTGCTTGGGGCTCAGCTTTTGCAGTTGAGTCAAGGACTGTAGCAATGGTGTTCAGCAGAGACCCAGACTTCCAGCTCATGTGAGTGTTGAAATGTCTGGACCTTGGTAGTGAAACTGGGGAGTTCTGTGTGCTGCTGGTGTTGCCTTGGGCTGTCCAGCCTGCATGGAGCTGATCCCATGCTCAGCTGTGAAAGAGCAAAATGCAAAAGAGCTGAGTTACCTTCTTGGTAAGTCCTGAAGGTTGTTCTGCCTTGGGTGGTTCATTGCTCACTAACAAATGTTCTGTTGACAGCTTTCACCACTCCATGGAGGAGTGAAAAGGATCTCTAATTGAGAATTAGGCAATTGTCTTCTAAACATAAGAAACAGCTATTCAGCCTGCTTTTGCTCTGTAAATACAGCTAACTCACTGGTATGTCGTGCCAGCTCTACCCAGGACCAGCCTTTGGAAAATCTGCTCGGCTCCTCTGTGTGTCTAGTGGGTCTGTGTGCACAAAGGGCAAGGGAGCAAGTCCTCATCTGCCCTGACCAGGGGGCAAGGTTGCTGCTAAAACGTGGTGTGTTGTCACTGTCAACCTGATGTTTGGAAACAAAACTGACTCTGTTTTCAATCCTTTTCAGAAACAAGAGTTGAAATAAAAGAATCTGTCCGGGGACAGGATATCTTCATCATACAGACGATCCCCAGGTAAGGGACTCGTGGCTCAGTTTTACACCCGGGATGTGCTGTGAATACCTGGGTCAGCAGAGGGTTGGATGGTTTGCTCACAGGATAACCAGTGGAACTCCTGCCAGTGCTGTCATTGCTTTGACTCACATCTAAGACCCCACATAGTGTTAAGCTGTTGACATTCCCAGAGGATCGATTGTGCCACAGCAAGCTGAGACTCTTCCCATCAAATAGCTCCAGTGTGTCACTTGAGGCGAGAACAAGTGTGACTGATGGCTGCAAGTGAAACATCCCTGCTCTGTGTGTGGTGGCCTTTCAGGCTCAGTTGTTTGGTGATTTCTGACTGGCATTTCCATCCCGGGATGGCTGATTTACTCAACTACCAAGCAGCAGAGCCAGCATCAAACAGCAGCTATTGCTTTAATTACAGGCTGGATTATTCTTGCCCTTTCACTGTAGTGATGTGAAACTGAGCTCAGGTGGAAGCCTGCAGCTTCCCTCTGGTATTTTTACAGTTTTTGATGATGGTGGGCCTTTTTTGTTTTTATTTTGGGCTATTCTAGTCTTGGAGTAAGAAAAGTGCTGCAAGTAACCAGGGGGCTAGAAAACCAGCTGTAACCCCAGGAACCTTGCTGCTCCCTGGCTGAGGAAGAGACTAATGATACAGCACTGGTGTGGTGGGAAAGGAGCCCACATATTAAATGATAACTGCAAAACAACCAACTATGGGTAGGGGAGGCACTGTTTTCAGAGGTGAGGTATTGTTAGGATGCCTATTGCACAATTAGCAAAACAAGAGTATTCCTGCTCTGACAGCTTTTTCCAGGTTACTAAATCCTGTTCAGATTTTGGACATCCCAAGAAGTAATAAGCAGCAGAGCTCAAGTAGGTAGCAGAATAACCTAGAAACAGAATTTTTCCTTGCTTGCCAAAGAGGCCTCTGAGAATTCAAGTTCATTTCCTCTTTGTAATGTTTGGCCTGTTGTTAAAGAAATCAGTAGGACTACTAGGTCAGCTTACTCACTTCTGGAATTCCTCTTGCAGGCAGGAACATTTTCCTAGGGCTCATCTCTTTCCAGAGAGATGCTCCAAGTGTTTTCTCCCCCAGGGAGCAACTAAATCTCCACAAGATGAAAATGCCCTGCTGTAGGATTACCTTTCTGGTGAATGGTGCCATTCTGTTGTCCCTTGTGAGGGAGTTCTCAGAAATACCTTGTAACTGAGAGCTGTGTAAACACAAAACAGGTCAAGTGTTCACAGAGAGGTAACTCAGAGCATTAGGGACAAGCAACAGTGCTGGGAGGAGAAAACCTCCCCTGCTTTTAACTTGTCGATCCCCTTGTTTTTCCATTAACTGAATTTAGCATTATGGGCCAAGAAATTGGTCCCTTTTTAGCCAAAATGTTCAAGGCCCTCCAGGTGAGGAGCCACTGTTGTGCAGCCAAATCATCTTTTATTCCCAAACTGCAGCTGTGCCTTGCTGCATTGCTTGAGAGGACAGGTTCAAGGGCATTTTAGTTTTCCAGTAGGTTTCAGGGAGCTTTTCAGGAGAGTCAAAACAGCAACTCTATGGAATAATCTAAGAATAGGACTTCCACACTCAGCAGTGGTTTGAAAAGAAAACAAAATATTAGGACTTGGTAGGAAAGGAGTAGAGAGGGGAAACAGCCTTGTTATGCTGCAGTGTGAATTCACAGTCTGCATCTTAAATGCAGGAGAGAACAGAGAGACCTGAATATTTGATACAGGCTCCCTGTCCTAAAAGCCTAGAGCACAACAAAAAAGTGACAAAGGCAGGTATCATGCAAGACTGTTGGTGTGTGGACTGGCATTTGTATGAGGGGAAACTCAAGTGTCTTATGTTTAGGTGGTAGAAAAATGAAGAAGTTGGTGGTTTTGTGATACCCTGAAAGTGAAAGGAGCCTTTTAGTGCTGAGTGTTGGTTGTTGCAAAGTCCATTGACAGTGTCACATGAGATGTTTGCTCAGCCTCCAGAGAAGGAATGTCCAGGGATGTCCTAGACAGGGATGGGGAGCAGCAAGGGAGGCTCCAGGCTGCTGGAGAGGGGTGGTAAGTAGGGTGAGGGGGATCGCTGAGCTGTGTCTAAATGTCCTGGTAATGAGCTGACAGTCCCCATGTGAGGTCTTGGCTCAGCCTTCCCAGCAGTAACTAACTGGAAGCACGGCTGCAAGGCAGGAGGTGGGGAGGGCAGCAGGGAGGCTGGGATGCTCTCCTGGTCCCTGTTTTGGAGATGCTTTGGCTGGGGTTCCACCACAGATGTTATTTCCCCCTGTTATTGCCCTTGGTTGGGGTCAGTGCCCCTTGCAGAGGAGCAGAGCAGTGTGATGGCTCAGCATGAAGCATCACCTCAACAACTTCCCCAGGCCACCCACCCCGGGCCCTGCTGGAGTGACAGACACACCCACCTCTGCCTAGTGCCTGTGCCAGCTGGTCTGCAGGAGCTTTCCGGAGCCCAGCATGGAATCCTGCTGGAATACTGAGAGAATTGCTCCTCCTTGAGTAACTTCAATAGGGCTGCCACGGTCCCACAGCAGCACCAGGACTGCAGGTGCCTTTTAAAACCTTTCTCCCAGTCTTGTTCTTTTATCTGCTTTCCATGTGAATAGATATATATTTTTTTTTTTAAGGGGTAAGTTGAAAAATAGTGATGAAAAATAATGCATTTCTTGGATGAACTTTAAATAGGCTTAAACTTGACCACTTTGTTTTTGTATGACACTGATAGTAGCATCTCTTTCTTCTCTCCTGGCCCTACTGGCACAGCTAAAACACCAAAAGGAAGAAACAGTTCTTTGTTTGCTCGTTGTCCTGTGTGGCAGGGGGCTGTGTTTTATGTAATTCTTGGCTGCGTGCTGCAGAGCCAACAAAGCTTTCCTGTGTGTACATGGCATTGTGGTGGGGCCAGCGGGAGAACAGAGACTCAGAGCCTCACAAATGAAGAGGCACAAGTGGAGGTTAATGTCCAAAGGAAGGGAGAGCGGTGGGGAGGTGGAAGTGGTCAGAGGTTTGTCACGGGTCATGTCTCTGAGCAGTTGGAGAAGCTGTCTCTGGTGCTCAGGAGGAAAACAGGTCCTGAGCAATGTCTGGGCAACGTCCAAAAAGCTCTGCAGAGCTTTAGGCTGCTCTGTGCTGTTTAGTCCTCTGCTGCTGTGTGGAAAGATGGCCCAGTCAGCCCCAGCATTGCCCTCCTGACCAGCCTGGGGATGTGGTGTGTCACTGGAGGCTGCAGACTCCCAGGCAAGGGTGTCTGTGTTGCAGGAAGATTGTCTGTCCCGCTGTCTGAAGTGTGTGTGTGTTCTTCAGTTCCCAAATGGTCTCGAGTCAGTCTGTGACCATGCAGACAGTGTCTCTTGGTGTTGGTTTTAAGGAACTAAAGAGGCTTGGGAGTTTCTTCCCCTTCCTAAAATGAATTAAAATGCAGACGAATACACTCCTGCTGGGCCATGCCAGTCATCATGGTGGAGCAAACTGAAAATGGGATATTTCAGTCTCGTGACCAGTGACAGGACTCGAGGAAACGGCATGAAGCTGAGTCAGGGGACATGTAGATTGGATATCAGGGAAAGGTTTTTCACCCAGAGGGTGGTTGAGCACTGGAACAGGGTTGCTAGGGCGGTGGTCACAGCACCAAGCCTGTCTCAGTTCAAGAAGCTTTTGGACAACACTCTCAGGCACATGGTGGGGTTGTTGGGGTGTCCTGCACAGAGCCAGGAGTTCGACTGGATGATCCTGGTGGGTCCCTTCCAACTCAGCATATTCTATGATTCTTCTGCCTATGTTGCTTTTTGGTTTTGTTTTTTTTTTCTTTCAAGAAACAGTCCTTTAGCATTTCCTGTGCTGTTGTTCCTTCCATCTCTAGATAAGCTGGAGAGTGTGGAGATGCTGACTTCACTGAAGTGATACGTGTGGAATCTGTATGCTCCAAAATGCAGTATTTCTTAAGGCAGGAAAAATAACCTGCCTTACATTGTTAAAAAAGAAAAATACCCTAATAAATCCAGTGTGGACGAAGTTGTGTTGGCTGCATGTGTGCTGCTTCTTTAAAAGACTATTTTATTTCAAAATACACTGTATCAGGTAATATTTGTTCCAAGATAAATTTTAAAGAAATCCTTTTTTTGTGTGATGATGGAGGGAAATCATCACATACCTCGTGTTAGAATATAAAGTCAAATTCCAGCCCCCAGCTCTTGAGTGCTGGAGTCGTGTCCTGTACATGTAAGAGTTGATTGTAACGTGTTGTGGTGTGGTGGAAGGAGCTGTATGGCTGCAGTCTGGGTCTTGCATACATTAGCCTAAGATGTAGCATTATTTCCTTGGAACTTTGCTGAGGAGAGGTCTGAGTATAAATGGAAAAGGTGTTGCACTGGAAGAACACCTGCTAATACTTGGAATTGTTTTTCAAATGTCCTAGAGATGTGAATACTGCTGTCATGGAGCTGCTGATAATGGCGTATGCACTGAAGACTTCCTGTGCCAGGAACATCATCGGGGTCATCCCTTACTTCCCCTACAGCAAACAGAGCAAAATGAGGAAGAGGGGCTCTATAGTCTGCAAGCTGCTGGCTTCCATGCTGGCCAAGGCAGGTGAGTGTCACAGGGAGGGGCATCCAGGGGGCATCTCTCCTTCAGTTCTTCTCCCATTAGATGTGGGGATGTGCTGCTGAGCTCGAGCCACTTCAGGGGAATTGATTTTCTTCAGCTTTCTTGTGTTTCTTTGTAACTCACACCTGGGGAAGTGGCCTAGAAGTGTTGTAGTGAAATACAGTGTCAGCCCAGTGCTGTGACACTGCCTGCCTGTTTGTCTCTATGTCCTTGGAACTTTCTACATCCATCTGTTTATGATTATTTTATGCCATGGCACAATAGTCTGAGTAACAGCTAAAACAGTCTGGAAAATGGAGATATTCAAGCCACGTGGGAATATTTTCCGTAAACTGTTCTCTTCTTTTTCCCTTTAGGTTTAACACACATTATCACTATGGACCTTCATCAAAAGGAAATCCAAGGCTTCTTCAGCTTTCCAGTAGACAACCTGAGAGCATCCCCTTTCTTGCTTCAGTATATACAGGAAGAAGTGAGGTTACTCTAGTTCTGTATATATCAACTTGTCTTAACTCATCTTAATATGGCAGCAGCATTGAGCCTCTCCTTAAGTAGAGGTGGTCTTGTCAGTCTAGGTCAATCCTTCTGCTAAGGAATTCTTTCTTAGGGGGGAAAGTGGGAAGATGCTACACTGTATGATTGTACCTGGATGGAAATTCAACTCCACCACAATCAGGAGAGGAGCTTGCTCTCTGTGGAGTTAGTGCCATTGCAGAGATGCTGTTTGTGCTCCTGCCTCTAAACACCTTTAAAATCCTGTTCCACTGCCTCCCCCTTACCCCTTGGGCAGTGGTGGATTTCTGACTGCTCTGAATTTATTGATAGACTTTGTCTTGGGCTGAGTTTGGGAATGCTGAGCTGGGGGCAGAGCACAGAGGTTTCATTCTCCATGTGCAGAAGTTGATGATTTATTCCCACATGGTGAGAACAAGGCTTCCCCATATGGGGAGGGTTAAACACCATGAACATTCCCACCTTTACAGAATACACAAATACTGGTGTTGAAAGCAAGTGCAGCTGCCTCCTTCTCTCTTTCAGAGAGAAACGAAGAATGAAGATTTGGGTCTAGGGAGGAGGGTGGGCATGATTATTTAGCCATGTATCAAACCAGTTACTAGCAAAAAGGTCTTTCTTTAATTAAATAACCTTTTATCACATCCAGATTCCAGATTACAGAAACGCAGTTATTGTAGCCAAATCTCCTGGTGCAGCTAAAAGGTAAATGGATGCTTTACTAGCTGGTTAAAATTAAACTGGAAAATACCTGAGCTGGTGGGAAATACACCAGGGAAAGTATGGGAGGGTGGGAGTAAACTCTGGGGGTCTCTGCTGCTGCAGAGCAAAGGGGTTCACCTGGGGTTAGGATCAGACTTGCTGCTTGAGTTTCAGCAGTGCCTGGCTATCTCAGAATGGAGATATATGGAGGCATACAGGAGGCCCCACGGTGGAGCCAAGGGGTAGAGTGAACTTTAGGATATTAAGGACAAATGAAGAATCACTTCCAATGAAGTTTCTTGCTGGGGAACAGCCACAGAGGTGCAGCTTTTGCTTGCTGTTGGCTCTGGGAGAGACTTGGTGGGCTGGGCTGCGAAGCTGCATCAGCCCAACTCCTTCCTGACAGGCTGTTTGTCTTGCAGGGCTCAGTCTTACGCCGAGAGGCTGCGGCTGGGACTGGCAGTGATCCATGGGGAGGCTCAGTGCACGGAGCAGGACATGGATGACGGGCGTCACTCCCCTCCAATGCTCAAAAATGCAACTGTGCACCCTGGCCTGGAGCTGCCCTGTAAGATCAAGTTTCTCTGCTTACCCTTGGGGGGGGAAAAAAAGAAGTTTGGTGGGAAGTTTCTCTTGGTTTATAACCAACCTGATGGCAGTGGGACCAGTGGAATTTTTCTCGTGGAAAGGTTGATATCAGTGAGTTGTAGGAGAAGTCACAGGGGAAGGTTTTTATTTAACTCCTTCTGGCCATGCAGAGCATCAGTATTGTTCTCCTTGGCTGTGCCTGCTCAACAGTGTCAGACTGACAAACCTCTGATAAAGGTGGTGCTTTTACAGTGCTCAGCAACAGAACTCATTGAGCTAATGAAACAAAAGAAATGCAAAAGTGCAGGTAATAAGGGAGCTGCTGCTCCATTGTGGAGGGGAGGTTTGGCCTTTATCTCCCCCTTCTGCTGCAGCCTTTGTCACTGCTGGAAATTCTCTTCATCCTGGCAGCCAGGTGATCATGTTCCAGCGTCTGTTTTAACAAGGTTTTGAGGTTTGTGGTGAATAGTTTCTCCAAGAGCATTGCTGAGCTGTTTCCTGAGCTCCTGCCACTGATTGATAAGCTGCTGATTTGGGAGCAGACAGCAAAGGAGAAAGGACGAAACCTGTGTTCTGGGAAATGCCACCTTCAGGATTGCTTGTTTTCCTGCAGCAGTCCAATAACAACAGTAGAATTAAAATACATCTCTCTCTCGGGAGGATTTAAGCTTTCTAGGTATGTGGTGGTAGGACAGAAGTTGGGATCAGTGACCGTGGGAAAGGCTGTGTGCTGCTGTGTGTGGTGAGGAGCTCTCCATCATGCAGCCAGACTTAATTACACCAGCAGAGGTTGGGGCTACTGATAAGCCTCTCCTCTTTTGAAGTTTAGGGAGAACATCCAACCAGTTTGTGGGCAGCTTGTGGAGGGGAGGCAAGTAAAACTGCAGGCATTTCACATCACCCCAGTCGTTGCTCACTAGAATACAATCAGTTAAACAGTGCTTATGTTGCTGGTGAAACTCCTCTTGGGCCTTCAGGGCCAGGTGGGGTTTGAAGTGTGGGACTTCATCTTGATTGCCCCCCCCTTCTGACAAGGGGATTTTTTTTCATGCCCTTCCAACAGAACAGGAATTTGCATGGTTGCTCTTACCTTTTTCCCCTCCCCTCCTACTCTGAAGAGGATGCTGTCCTCCAAAATATCACTAGCTGACATTTGTCTGCTACCGAGGCATTGATGGTTTTGTGTTTTTATTTCCAACCATATGTCACTTCAAGGAAGCTCAGCTGTGAAAGCTTGTGCTGCTGGAGAGCCCTGTGAATGGTAGCTCATACAGAAATGTGTCCTTGTCCAGTTTAGTTATGATTTCCAGGGGAAAATTGTTTTCAGTCCTCAGCTATCCAAACACAAACTAATTTGCTGTCTATCACCACTTTCTTATTTTATCTCCTGCACAAACTCGGCACTTGACCAATGACCTCCCTGCATGCCTAAGGCACAAATGTAAAGCAGTCAAGCTGAGGCTTGGTAGTTGTCAGTCGTGGGGTGGATTGTGGGGCAAACTTGTCCAAAACTCTCGGTAGGAAGTTGATTTTCTGTCCAGTTTTCTAACCTGACAAATACCCAGGTTTGAGTGAGCTGGACTCTGTTACTGGAGGTGCAGAATTCTGAGGTAATCCCTGTCTGAAAGCAGTCTGTAAGCTTCTAGTGCATCCTGGTTGTGTGTCAGCCTCTGACAGGGAGCTGTGCTCTGCCAGACAGAGCTGAAAATGCAGACGGGGGTTTAGGGATGGCAGTGCTGTGAGTGTCTGTACTTACCCTCTCTACTGTGCCTCCTTTCTTGTCCAATTCAGTCATTTGAAAAGCATCTTCCCACCTCAAATGTCACATCATACCAAATCCTCCATCAGCTCTTCCTGCCATGTGCCATCACCAGCATTCCTGGTAGTGTGAGCTCTGAGGGCAGAGTGAAGCTGTGCCCCTGTATGAAAGGTCAGACGTGTGCTGCTTACCCAGAGCTGGATGCTTCCTTACACCAAAACTGTCCCAAAAACACTCTAATTGCCAAAACAGAACCAGTCTGGGTCTGCCTGGCTTAGGAACCCTGGCCTGGCTCAGGCAAGTGGGGATACTCCTGGAGAGTGGCTGAGACTTACTGTGGAGCATCCTGCTCCAGGCTACAAGCAGACTATTGTGGAGCATCCTAGACTGGGCAGTTCAGGCTCCAGGCAGTTGTGTTACAGCCAGGAGAGAGGTGAAACCTGTGTCTGGGAGCAGCCCCAGAGCCCCACAGCGATGGCTTATGCTTTGTGCCATTCCTCATGGGCTTCCTAGTGAATTGGCTGGGCTCCTGTGTCCTGGCATGCACCTTGTCTCCCCGTTCTGGGAGAGATCATGTGCCTCTAATTAATGAGTGCTGTGCAGTGTAATGGCTTATTTATTGTCCTGTGAGCGTGGCCTGATGTGATATTGTGATTCGTGTGGAGCCACAACAGAAAAATGCCAGAAGTGCTTCTAATTGCACTTAAAATGCTGTGCTCGAGCAGCAGCAACAGCCCAGGGTCACTCCTGAAAGCAGAGCCTTTGAGACAGGACTTCACTCTGGGGTTATTCCCTTTGATTGTGGGCTTTTGTGTCTCAGAGCTTGCAGCTGGCTCGGGGCTGTGCCTTAAATGCATGTGGACTCTTTGCATGTCTCCTCGTCCTGGAGAGAAAAAGAGCGGAACACCATCTGTTAAATCATTTCAGTGGCTCTGGAATTCAGTACTTTATTCAGAGCTGATGGTTCAAACCTGGGGCTCAGTAAACTGCCATGAAGGAAGAGAGTTTGGGGGGGAAAACTGGAGTGACCATAGGTCCATTCCTCCTTCCCTACCCCCATCTCTCCTGTGTTTAGGCTGGGCACAGGGATGTTTTCTGTCCTTCCAGGGCTATCTCTACACAAAACAGTTCATTCTTTGAGCAGCCTTTTGCTCACGGGCTCTGTTGTAAATGCAGCTTTACAGTTCTTGGTGATTATCACTTTAATGCACACTGTCAGCTCCAAATAGAATTTATTTTAGCGTTTCTTAACCCATTTTCAACTGCTTAATTACAGCAACAGGTTTACACACCTGGGAATGCTGTTTCCTCATGCCAGTAATAATCTTGCCTTTAACATGTGGTACTTAAGTATATGTTACACACATCAGAATAAAAGTGTTCTTTGACATTCTTGTTTTATAAAAATGGTGGTCTGTTTTTTTCTCTTTTATTTCTCCTCCCCCCCAGAAGCTACAGATACCACAAGCATCTTTTCTGACTCTCCAGAAAAAAGTCAGCAACTCTTTAACCTGAACTTGTACATGATCCAAGGGGTTACACCAGGCAAAAGTACCACTGTGGCTTATTTCTGTTACCCTCTTTTGTCTACATATAAACAGAGGTTTTCAGTCTGGAAGGAAAATGCCCTTTATTATTTGAATCATTTTTCAAGCCACCTTCTCGTAGCAGTTCTGACTTGCACATCTTGATATGTCCAAAGATTTGGAAGAAGAAACTGGCTGCAGAAACCTTTGTGTAAACTCTCATCACGTCGGAGCAGTTCTCTTGAGATTTGATGTGGTTGTGGGTGGATCTTTGGCTTGCAATTTTTTGTTTCTGTTTTTTTTGCAGAGAAAATTGAACAAGAAAAAGGGAGAACATCTCTTTAAGATCCGGGTAGGTCGACACGTTGCCTACCATTCTTTAAAAATAAAACAAAATCGAAATACAGCTTTTTAAAAACAGAGATGCAAAGCACTGATAATGTTGCTAGTTGCCATGTTAGCCTTTAAGCATAGTAAGTGTCTGCTTCCTTTATGGAATAGAAGGATACTGATTTGCTGAAACTTCATGTCTCTGTGAGTAAAATAGTGTTGAATTTCAGCTCTCTAGTTCTGTTCACCATTTTTGCAGAAAGATTCCCCCAAACCTGGCTGTTGTAACCAGAGATGGCACTCATCTGTGGATACACATGGAGGATGGGATGGCAGCCAGGTGGAATCCTTTTGATACTTCCCAGCTCCCACCAGGAGCTTTATTACTGTCCAAACTAGATAATAAACTAATAACTAATCTAAGCAGGTCGGTAGTGCCTGTAATTGAAATTTATGATCTGCTTATCTCTTGTGATGCTTAATCTGCATTTATTGCAAATACTCATCCTTCTCATAAGAGTGTTTTTCCTTCAGGATTAGAGGTGACTTTGCATTTGATAGGAGACTCAAATAATCATGCAAGGGAGGCTGAGGAGTCTGTGCCATGAAGAGCTATTAACTCTTCAGTCCAAGGTAGCTGTGACTTTAACTGCAAAACCTGGCAATGAGTGATGGAACTTTGGTCAAAACAGAACTGTTGGACACCTTTTATACAGTTTTGGTAGGTTTATGGAGAACCAGTCTGTGGAGTAGGTTGTGTATGTGAAGAACAGCTCTACACATGAATCTTCAAAGCTGTGGTCCTTAAAATTGCTTTCATCACATCCCTCAGTGTGACTCACTCACTCAGCTGTGCTTGCACTCTAAGCATTCCCAGGCACTGATGAGATGTGGGAATACTACTGGATCAGCCTGCTGTGCAGGATGTGGAGTTTCATGCAGAACTGTTTTGATCCAGGAGGGCAGAAATCAATATTCAGACAGGCTTTTTGATGGGCAATGGCTTCTGTTCTCCTGCTGCTCAGGTATTACATCGAAGTAGGTTATCTTAAAGCAGAAAAGTCTTGCTGTGTAGGTTGTCTGAAACTCCTCAGCACTTGAGAAACCTCTGTGGTCAGAATCCTGGCAAGACCTGAGCTTACAAAAGGAGGGGTACCAAGTGCCTTGGTAGGACACTTTGCTGCACTCCCCACAGAAAGCATCAGGTCTGGGAGGGGGGGGTGTGGAGATGGGCCAGGTAAGTGTTACACAATACTGGATGTTCCTCTTTGCTTCAGTGGTTAGATCAGTCCAGATTGTCACCTGTATGCCCACCACAGTGTCCTTTCCATGCTGGAAGTTTTTGTTCTGTACAAACCAGCACCCTGTGGCAGTGACAGGTTTGGCTGATGGACAGCAAGTCCCTGGCCTGTATCAGAGGCCAGTTGCTGTTTGATGTAAGTCTGAAGACTGTGTTACATCTGGACACTCTCAGTGCATCCTGGTTCATATCTCTTTATGTATATACTGCTGCTGGAAGTTTGGCAGGATGTAGTTTGGCATAAACCATGTCAGTGCAAAAGCAGAGTCAGGAGGGAGTGGAACCTTATTTCCTGGTACATCTCTTCACTGTGTCAGGTAGCACAGCTTGTCAGTGCTACCTTGTCAGATCCTTTTGATCCAATTGCTGGTTGCACTGAGCTTGTACAACTGTGTTTCCACTGGATTTTGTCCTGCTCTTTCCATTAATCCACTTAAAAAGAAAAAAAAAATCAGCGAATTTGCTTCTGCAAACTTCCTTAAGCTTTCTTTGCCTGAGCAGGTGGTATTAATGTTCTTAGACCCTCTGAAAGAGCCTTGTGTGTTTGTTGGTGTGAGAAAGCAAGAGCTGCAGTGCAAGTCTCTGATCCTGCAAATGGATTGCTGAGTCCAGCAGGTCAAAAGTTGCAGCTCGTAAAGCACCTGCCATTTGAGAGGTGCTGCTCAGAGAATCCCATTTGTTGCTCCCAGTCATGACCTGTTTTCAAATCTTGTTCTGGGGGAAAGTCACCAACATGTCCCATAAACCAGGTGCTGCTTTGTAGCTCTCCTTGCACAGGGACCTGTTAGATTGTTGGATTTGCTTGCTGTCTCTGAGGTCAGTATGAGGTCCCCACAGAAACAGAGAGTCTCCTCATTGTGCAGCAGTGCTGTTCATTTAAGGAGGAAGAAGATGGTTAAACCAGTGCTTTCCCACTGAGGTGGGTGTCAGGATCATGTAAAGCACATCTGTGTCTGTGCACCAATATAAGATGTTTAAGGGTTCAGCCTCTTGTGTGGTGGAGCTGTTGGTGTTTGATTCAAGCCTCACTGACCTGGAGTCCTTTTTTCTCTTCTTCTTTAGTGATGATGGCCAAGGAGAAACCGCCAATAACTGTGGTTGGAGACGTTGGAGGAAGAATTGCCATCATAGTGGTATGAGTGTGACAGGGGCAGTTGGGGGGTGGCTTCCTCACAGCATCTTACCTTGAGCTGCTCTATCCCTGAGAGTAGGAGGGGGATTGCTGGTGTAGGGGTGGGAACATGATTGTTAGACACTGTTTTCTCCAGTTTTGCTGGTGGCTTCGATTATTTCAACTTGCTGTTGAAAACCCTTTGTACTTCAGCACTTTAAGCCCTAAAATCTCCTTGCTCCCTTAATTCTACAAATGTCAGATGTCTGCAAATACTGAATAAATCCAGGACATGCAGAATAAACTCCTGAAGTGTTTAAAAAAATAAAAAAAAAACATAAAAACCCCAACAAATGAAAAAGAAAACTTGCTGAGCTTCTCATACTTGCTGTGCCAGGCTGCAGTGTAAGCAATCAACATGCAGCTCCTACCCCCATGAAAAAACACCTTGCTGATGATAAGCTCTCTGTGTGTGTGCATGTGCAGGGACTAATTTGTTTCCAAGGCACAGTATTTGTTCTCCACACTAGAAAAAGGGTCCCTAAAATAGGGAAATGGCATTTGCAGATTAAAGTCATGCACCTGGGTGTCCTTGCTTCTCACCAGCAGCTGAAGTAGACAGGGATTATATTTTTCATCTGTGTGCATGGCCAAAGCTGCAGTACCTTCCAGATCCACTCCTGCCCTGCAGGCACTGTAAACTTCTGGTTTTGAGGTTCCTTCTGTTTCTCCTCAGGATGACATCATTGATGACGTGGAAAGCTTTGTAGCTGCTGCAGAGATCCTGAAAGAGCGTGGAGCCTACAAAATTTTTGTGATGGCAACTCATGGGCTCCTGTCAGCAGATGCCCCCCGTCTCATAGAGGAATCCTCCATCGACGAGGTGAGTCTGCCTTCTGCAGAGGAGGGGCTGGCTCTGATGGCATCCAAACTCACAAACATGTTCTTCCCATGCTGCACAGCTCATCTCTGAAATCACTGGTGTAATCAGGTGCTTTCAGTTAGCTGGTTCTTCAGTGGAACAAAAAAAGTGTGTGTGATTAATACTTGTTCAGATCAGGTCTGCTTCCCTGAGTGTGTTTTCTCCCTAATGCAGGTATTAGTCATCCCTGCATGGACACTTCCCTTACTGCAGCTGGTGGTGTGTGGCTGCCATCTCACTGTGCAGCCCTTCTCCCTGCCCCTCTCCCCCAGCTGCTGAGGGGCTGCTGGGACATCAAGAGGACAAGATTTCACACCTCACCCTTAGTAACAGACATGTCAGATCCTGTGAACTGAGTGGACCCATCAGCCTGTGTGGAGGTGGCTGTTGGAGAGTGCTGGTTATGCTGGTCCCCTCAACAGATTGACTGTCATGTAGGGGAGACCATTTATTTCAATCCCACAAGTATTTCTCCCCTTGAACTGTGAAACAGCAGGGGCACACCCCTCCTGGAGCTAATCCAGGGTGGCTTCTTGGGGAGAGCGAGTGTTCCAGTGGCACAACTTTCTTTCCTTTCCATCCATAGGTGGTGGTGACCAACACGGTTCCTCACGAGGTGCAGAAGCTGCAGTGCCCCAAGATAAAGACTGTGGATATCAGTTTGATCCTCTCGGAAGCCATCCGGCGGATCCACAACGGCGAGTCCATGGCTTATCTCTTCCGCAACATCACTGTGGATGACTAGACCTGGCTCTGCCCCCGTCCTGGGTTCCACGGGAGAAGGAAATGTGCATGAAAAGGCAATACCATAAAATATAGGCATAACACAGCTGTTTATTTTTGTAGGAGCGTGGAGGTTTTCAGGGTCTTTGAGCCATGAGATCTAATAGAAAAAAAAGTCAACCTGACCAGCACTTTACAGTTGAATAGAAGAGGCCACTGGCAATGGGGAGGGTTACACCTTAATTAAGAGAGGTGGTGTTGAATTTTTAAGTTCCTTTAATGATTTTTTTTTTTTTTTTTTTTTTTTTTTAGTGTGTTATATCTCTTGCCCTGTAGGGGTGGAAAGAAAAGCTAAACAGAAGTAGCTGTCAGCTTATGAGAAGGGAATAGAGACTGTTCATTGCTGTGTGGGCAAGCAAGAGCAGCCTTTGGGGTTGTTTCTGCCTGTGGCTCACCCAAGAGCACAGAAGGGAACGTTCTGCTGGCAGAGCTGAGCAGCACAGCAGCTCCTTGCCAAGTGAGTGGCCTCTCATCTCCTGCACAGCAGAGCAAGGACTTTCATCAGAACTAAGTTAGCGGAACATCCCAAGAGGACAGCTTAGGGCAACCCGTTTGCAGGGCTACTCACATCCTTGTGTCAGGGAGCTGGGAACAAGCTCACGTGTCTCCCAGCAGAGCAGGGAATGCTAGTTAATGTGTTGGCCTTTTCATTTCGCAAGCTTTTGGATCATTATTGTTCTTCAGTGACAAGTCACATGAGGGTCTTGGTCCTCACTTGAACACTTGTCTGCACTGCAAAGCCAGGCACAATTTTTGGAGTTGCCTGGGGCTGACGAGTTTGTGGCGGAGTCTCGTGGGGAAGGGAAGTTGGAACAATATCTGCTTCTAATGCAGCTGTGCTCTCCAAAACACTAACACCGAACCTGCAATAAAAAGTGTGAGGTTTTTCAATTTTGGTGCTTCCTGTGAATGCTGTACCCTCTGAGCAGCTGCTGTGTGTGTTCAGTGGGGCTGTTGGTGTAACCAGGCTCACTTGGCTTGCAGCCTTCTCCCACAGAGAAGTAGGACTTGCTGATCACTCCTGTCTTGAGTGATACTAATTTTTGGGTGGAGGGGACACTTGAGGAAGGAGCACAAGATGCAGGTGGAAGGCTTTGTCTCCAGGATGATATAAGGATAAATTCCCAAACTGTGATCTTCCCCCTTGATGAGACAAACACACTCCAGTAAAACCTACACCGCTTTCTAGCCTGCTGATGTGAGGAACAAATAAAAGCTGCTGGAAGCAGTTGCTTCAACAGCCTAAGAACTGTTTTAGTTTTGCTTATCCTTGTTCTACACCTTTCTCTTCCACTCCAGCATCTAAAATATGTATGGGGCCAAGGGGCTGGCAGTGACTGAGCAGGACAAGCTTTGAATACCAGGCAGACAAAGGTACCTCAACATGGAGTGGTTGGATCAGCGTGGATTAAACCTCCAAGCCACATCCCACAAGGGGTGTGCAGGGCTGGATGAGGTCTCAAAGCTGTTGATGGGTTTCCTGCATTTTCAGAGTACCACAAACAAATCCCAGCTGTACTCTGTGGCCACAGTGTGGCTCCTCAGCCTGGTGGGGTAACACTGCTGTGCTGCAAGGATTGAAAGGATCAACTGAAGTGTGTGAAGTCCTTGTAGATGTTTGTGTGCCCCCTTGTTCCAAGCCAGTGCCAGACCATGATCTCCATCCTGAAAGCCAGTGTCAAAAATGTGAGAGGTATTGCTCTTCTCTCCCCTTCAAACTGCTTGTCAGACCTGCCAGGAGCAAGGCCAGGGCTCATTGAGGGCTGTTGGCCCATTCAGGCCTGTTTTAGCTGGGCTCTATTTGGGAAGAAACCATGGAACCACGGCACCAGTGAGCAGAGGGTTGTGCTGCTGTCCCTGGGTGAATGGATGTTTTAAGGTCACTTATAGAATCACTGGTAAAAGCAGGTTTAATACAGAAGTGAAAGCTCAACAAAGTTGTTGGCAGCCCCCAGCACCTCCAGCCACTGCACACCCCAGGGCCTCTGCCAAGGTTGCTCAGCTCTCCTCTTCCCTGCATGTCCCACAGGGAGGCAGGACCTGGCATAGGCAGAGCCAGGGCAGCTCCTCGGTCCAGTGTGTGCCCTCTGCTCAGAAAAGGGCCTTGTTCAGGGTGGTGGGAAAAACAGCAGGAGCTGGGAGCCCCCTGAGGGCCAGCCGGGATTGACATCCCACCACAGCCCCTCCGTGGGATGCGTGGCACCCGAAACCCTGGGGGCTGGGGAGGAACCTTTTGAAATCCAACAAAGGCAAGTGCCAGGTCCTGCATCCAGGATTCCCCAGCACCTACACCTCCATCCCGAGGGTGCAGCCAGCACGAGGCCACGCAGCAGCATGGACTCTCTGGGCAACAGTGTGGGACTGACAGGTGAGTGCCATGGGGACAGCACTGGAGCCGTTCCCTCTGGCTGTCCTAGCCAGGGCCTGTGTGGTGCCCTGGCACCAGACCCATTTAGCCAGCAAACAATCCCTGGGAATGCTCATGTAGCTGTTCTGTCTCCTCCCACTGGTAGCAGGTTCCTGACACTCAAGGAGGCAGCTTCAGGATGGAGCCCCTGTGAAACGCAGTAACTGCCCAGGGCAGGGAGGGATGTGAGGTAAAGGATACAGACACCCACACCCGCCATCCCAACCTGCCCTCACACCTGTGTCCTCGCTTGGTCAGCACCAAGGGCAGACCCAGGCCCCCTCAGCCTGTCCCCAGTCCCTGAGCTCATGGAGCCAAACTTGAGTACCCCCTGAGAGCCCAAAGGCAAAGGCTGCCCACCCCACAGAGACCCCCCAGCTCCTGCAGCCCTAGCACCCAGCCCCATGTTGGCCTTGCCACCTGTCCCAGTTCCCATGGGACTGGGCTGCTGTGGGTGCCTCTGGGAGGAATTCCCACAGTGGTGAGTTTTGGGCACTTCCCTCTGTGGATTCACTGTTGCCTAATATGAGCTGGCGCTTTTTCCCAGGTGGGAACCCACAAGTAACCCATTTCCCCCATTATTTTGTAACCAGCCAGTGGGTTGGACTGTGCTGGGGTGGGGGAGAAACCAGGCTCAGCACCCTGTGATTCCCCCTGCAAACACTGTAATTCCCTGCAGGACATGCCTGGCCCAGGAGCCAGGATCCCTCAGGAGCTCACCCAGCCCTCCTGTGCTCAAGGCTCCAGAGCCTTGCAGGAACAGGGAGATGTCAGCACTCTGACTGCCTGATGGTTGAATCTGCAAGTTCATAAGAGAGTTTCTTGCTGATGATTTTTGTAAGGACTTGTCTGATGGGTCACTCTGGTTCAAAAGATTTTTCCCAGCATTCAAGTGCTTTACTTCCTAGGCTTGTCTGGAAGCATGTGTTTATCTGCTTTTCCCTGCTTGTATGGCTCTCTGCTTTGGAGCGAGGTGCTGGAAATCCATGTGTCTATGCCATCAGCAGCAGCCTTCCACCATTCCCACATTTAAAGGAGAAGGGAAACTCTGTCATGCTTTTGAGATCTCAAAAAAGTGAACAGCTGGCAGTGCAACCTCTCTGGGCCTGATCTCCCAGAGTGTTCCAGAACGGCCCAGTGTGTGTGAGGACATGGATCACCTCTCCACAGGGCACAGCTCTCCTGGGTGGGCACAGCTCACCCTGCAAGGGTCACCTGGGGCATGGGCTGCCCAATGTGAGCTGTCCCTGGGGTCATTTTGGGGCTGAAAATGGTAAAGCCGGAGGTGCCTCATGGATTCCACCGGCTGCCAGGACCTGGGCATGCCAGCAGTGAGGGACAATGGGGATGTTCCACAGAGGGCTGGGCTGCTGCTGTGTAACAATGGGTGACCTGTGCCAGGGTGGGCCATCACCTTGAAACAGGGGACACCATAAACAGAGCCACATGTAGCAAGGAAAAAGGGGGAGACCACAGGGGAAGGAGCCTGTCAGCTGCGTACCTTTATTCTACCTCCTGCCACACCTCCTATCACCTGCCATCCCACTGCTCCTGTCTGGAGCAGTAGCACAGAAGGCCGTTGCTCACAGCAGGTCTGTGTTTTTGGACAGGTCAGCAGCCATGGCAGAGCTCACCCTGGGCCAGATATTGGATTCGGCCATCGGGATGCCCAAGACTGAGCCCATCAACTTCGAGCAACTGCGCAACCTGCTGAACGGGATGCTTGTGAACCTGGGCCTGCGGGATCTGGTCGTCCAGGAGAGCGGGGAACCCCCGGAGGGGACCCCGACAATCCCCCCAGCTGCCTCCATGGCTGCTGACCTTGAGGAGTTAAAGCAGAAAACAGAAGCCAATGAAAGAGAAATCGCTGAGGTAGAGGCTCTTCCCAGCCCCCTCCTCTGGGGTCTGCACCACTGGGCAGCTGCTGCCCCTTCTTGGTAGCTGAAGATGTGATGGAGGCCCAGCAGTGTCCTGTGCCAGCCTGTCCTGTGCCCTGCGCTGCCCCTGGCTCTGTGCAGATCATAGTGGGGGGAAGGACCTGCTCCCCAGCAACCCTGCCCTGGGGCTCACCCTGCCATCCCCCTCTCCTAGGTCAGGGCTCTTTGCGAGCAGCTCCGTGTGGAGATCAACGAGGTGAAGGAGCAGCAGTCCCACATGGAGGAGAACATGCAAAAGATGCAGGAGACTCTGGACAAGGTGAGCTGCCAGTGGTGCCCCTGGGAGCTGCCCCTTACTGTGTTGCCCTGCCACCCTGCTCTATAGCCCTTGGTGGCTCCCAGTGTGAAGGGCACCGGGAGGGAAGAGTGGGAAGGGTGTCCCCAGAGTGGAATGTGCCAACCCACCCAGAGCCCCCCCCTCCCAGAGCACTGCCCCAGGGAGGGCAGAAGGGCACCTCTGCCTGCAGGTCAGACCAGTGGTAGAGGTCACTGCCTGCCTCAGCCAGGGATGCTGAAGCACTTGTGAACTAAACAGCCACCAGAAAAGTAATGTGGGTGCTGGGAAGGAGGGAAGATAAAGATCCACCTGTGCAATACAGCCACAGCCCCTGGGCACAGCCCTGCCCAGAGTCCCTCTGCCCTGTGCCTGAGCTAATTTGTAGATGTTCCTTTTAAATCCTGCTCCCGTGTTCTGACTCCTGTCCCTCTCCTCGCCCCACTCCAGGCGAACTTGGAGGATATGGCAGAGAACTTCCACAACGAGCTGACAGACCCTGTCATGGACACTGTCATGGTACATCCCTGAGCACACCCGGGCCCTGCTCCAGGATGTGGCTGTACCCCCAGTGCACCCTGTCCCCCCACATCAAGGGATGGGCAGCAATGCTGGGGGGGTTTTGTGCTCCTCTGGATCCCATGGAGGGTGACAAAGATGATTTGGGACCTGGAACATCTGTCTCCTGAGGAAAGGCTGAGGGAGCAGGGCCTGTTCAGCCTTGAGAAGGCTGAGAGGGAGCCAAGGCTGGGAGGGTGGTGCTGAGCATCTGGGGGGGATTCGTACCTCAGTTTCCCCAGGAAAAGCTGGGTGGGGAGGCTGGCTTGGGGATGCTGAATGTAGCCCCATGTTGCCGCCATCCCATTCTCTCCTTCCCAGTCTTCCATGAAGGACATTATGGACGAGGACGGACAGGTCCCCCCAGACTGGCAGCAGGTCCCCCCGGACTGGCAGCAGGTCCCCCCGGACTGGCAGCAGGGGCCTGGCATGCGCTCACACCCTTGGGAGAACCAGGGGCTGATTGTCATCGGCAATGAAAGTACGTCTGGGCAGACCTGGGGAGGGGATCCAGTGGGGACCTGGGCAGACCTGGGAGGGGCACAGCGGGGCAGGCAGGGGGCCTGTAGACTGCTGGGTTTTCCCCCAGCTGTGTTCCCCAGGGCTCCCCCAACCCCAGAGAGTTCCCCCTGTTCTCTTCTTCCAGTTGTCCTCACGGACAGGTTCAGGGCATCCTCACCAAGGCAGCGGGATACCCGGACCCCCAGCCCTGCGCC